TATTCTGAAGGGCTGGAGTCCACCCTCAGTAATAGCTGCAGTGGCCCAGGTGCTTGTCATCTGTGTGCAGCATTGAGCATCGAAGCTCTGTGTCCCCCGTTTCTGAGGGCTGAGCTCAGCCTGTGATCCACAGAGAGATGAGGGGCTGTCCTCTGGATGGGGTTTGGTCAGGGATGGGTCTGTATCCTGAAGGGGAGATCAGTCCAGCCCAGCTCCCCGCTGCTGCCTCGTGTGTGGGGGCTTCTCCAGGAGGGGAGTGAGATCTGAAGACCGGGGTCAAACGTACACTTACAGGTCTTCCTGTGGGGCTTTCTTATCTCTGCATGGTCTCTGGTGCAGTGGGCAGTGGGGAACCATCTTTCTACAGGGTGAGGTCTCCCCTGTTCATGTGTTTTTGTCACGGGAAGGGAGTGAGTCATTTCTAACATGAAGTCTTTTTTTCACATACAGGATTGATTGCTAAAGACTCAGGTTACGTGAGGAAGCAGCTGAGAAGAGGAAAGGAAAGGAGCCAGGCATGGCCCTTCCTCAGGTGAAGTGATGTTCCTCTGGGGATGAATCTGTCTCTCTCCTTTCTGAAATGCCAGGAATTGTAGTAGCCAGTCTCTTCTGAGTCTGAAGCATTTTGCCTGACAGGTTCGCTTGCACTCACCCATGCCTGCCCTCAGTTCCTGTCATCTGCACTGAGATTTCATCTCCTGTGACCCAGTGACATGAACTTGGGAAGAGGCTCCACTGGGCACGGTCCTGGGAAGGGCTCACACCCAGACATGGATAAACATGGAGTGTGGGCCCATGGATGTCCGTGCTGCTGGGCAGCCTGGATGGTTCAGGGACCACATCTGGATGTCAGGTCAGAGAAACTACATATGAAATACATATGTTAATGTGCACAGATATCTGGTAAATTCTGGAAAAGGAGACAAATAAGGGGAGATATTTCGTATCTGATTTGGTAATGCATTTGAAGCCACACGAGTAGATCAACATGGGCCGGGCGTGGTGGCTCAAGCCTGTAATCCCAGCACTTTGGGAGGCCGAGACGGGCGGATCACGAGGTCAGGAGATCGAGACCATCCTGTCTAACACGGTGAAACCCCGTCTCTACTAAAAATACAAAAAACTAACTGGGCGTAGTGGCGGGCGCCTGTAGTCCCAGCTACTCGGGAGGCTGAGGCAGGAGAATGGCGAGAACCCGGGAGGCGGAGCTTGCAGTGAGCCGAGATGGCGCCACCGCACTCCAAGCTGGGCGACTGAGCAAGACTCTGTCTCAAAAAAAAAAAAAACGAGTAGATCAACATGTCTCTTTCTCCAAATTTTTTTTTTTTTAAGAGACAAGATGTTGGTCCAGGTATGGTGGCTCACACCTGTAATCCCAGCACTTTGGGAGGCCAAGGCAGGTAGATCACTTGAGGTCAGAAGTTCGAGACCAGCCTAGCCAACACGGTGAAACCCCATCTCTACTAAAAGTACAAAAATTACCTGGGTGAGGCCGGGTGCGGTGGCTCACGTCTGTAATCCCAGCACTTTGGGAGGCCAAGGCGGATGGATCACGAGGTCAGAAGATCAAGACCATCCTGGCTAACACGGTGAAACCCTGTCTCTACTAAAAATACAAAAAAATAGCCGGGCGTGGTGGGGGGCACCTGTAGTCCCAGCTACTCAGGAGGCTGAGGCGGGAGAATGGCGTGAACCCAGGAGACGGAGCTTGCAGTGAGCCGAGATCGTGCCACTGCACTCCAGTGTGGGTGACAGAGCGAGACTCTGCCTCAAAAAAAAAAAAAAATTACCTGAGTGTGGTTGTGCATGCCGGTAATCACAGCTACTCAGGAGGCTGAGGCAGGAGAACCAGTTGAACCCAGGAGGTGGAGGTTACTGAACGCTGAAATTGTGCCCCTGCACTCCAGCCTTGGAGACAGAGTGAAACTCTGTATCAAAAGAAAAAAGAGAGAGGAGAGAAGATGTTGCTCTGTGGCTTAATTCTGGAGTACAATGGCGCAATTCAGAGTTTACAGCAGCCTCAAACTCCTGGGCTCAACTAATCCCTGCTTTAGCCTCCCGAAGAGCCTGAAGGATAGGCATGGGTCACCATATATATCTATGTATGTATGTATGAATGAATGTATATATGTATTTATTTATTTATTTGCATTAAGATGGAGTCTCGCTCAGTCACTAAAGCTGGAGTGCAATTGCACGATCTCAGCTCACTGCAACCTCCACCTCCCAGTTTCAAGCAATTCTTCTGCCTCAGCCTCCCAAGTTGCTGGGACTACAGGCACGCACCTCCACACCCAGCTAATTTTTGTATTTTTAGTTGAAACGGGGTTTCATCATGTTGGTTAGGCTGGTCTCGAACTCCTGACCTCGTGATCTGCCTGTCTCAGACTCCCAAAGTGCTGGGATTAAAGGTGTGTGCCACCGTGTCCAGCCTTATTTTTTACATTGTATTTTTATTTTGTTGTCCAGGCTGGAGTGCAGTGGTGCAATCACAGCTCTCTATAGCCTTGATATCCTGGCCTCAAGTGATCATCCCATCTTGGCCTCCCAAATGGCTGGCATTCCAGATGGGAGACAGCCAGCCCGGCTGGACTCTGCACTTTTTTGAGGTGGAGTCTCACTCTGTTGCCCAGGTTGGATTGCAGTGGCGGGATCTCAGCTCCCTGCAACCCCTGCCTTCTGGCTTTAAGCAATTCTTTTGCCTCAGCCCCCTGAGGATCTGGGATTATAGGCATTTGCTGCCACATCTGGCTAATTTTTTTGTATTTTTAGTAGAGATGGGGTTTCACCATACTGGTCAGGCTGGTCGAACTCCTGACCTTGTGATTCATCCACCTCGGCCTCCCAAAGTGCTGGGATTACAGGCCTGAGCCACTGTGCTTGGCCAAACTCTGCAGTTTTAATAACTTGGAATGGAATGGAAAGTGGAGATAGGCATCAGTGATAGGCTTTATTACATCATTGATTTAACTTTATTTTTAAATATTTTTTGAGTTGTGTCTCACTCTGTCGCCCAGGCAGGAGTGCAGTGGTGTGATTTCGTTTCACTGTAGCCTCTGACTCCTGGATTACAGTGATTCTGTTGCCTGAGCCTCTCAAGTAGCTGAGTTTAGAGGTGCGCGCCACCACCTGTGTAACGGCGTGATGGGATGTGTGTGCCTGAATACGTGGATGGATAAGCCCATGGTGTATGTAGAAAACACAACCTTTGTAATAAGTTTTATTTTTTATAATAATTGTAATGATTTTAACTATTTTTCATTTGCAATATGTTTTATTTTTTATAATAATTGTAATGATTTTAAGTATTTTTTATTTGGAAGGCTGAGGCAGGTGGATCACAACATCAGGAGTTCAAGACCAGCCTGGCTAAGGTGGTGAAACCCCTTCTCTACTAAATATATAAAAATTATATGCGGTGGCAGGTGCCTCAAATCCCACCTACTGGGGAAACTGAGGCAAGAGACTTGCTTGAACCTGGGTGGCAGAGGTTGCAGTGAGCCAAGATTGTGCCACTGCACTCCAGCCTGTGCAATAGTGAGGCTCCATCTCAAAAAAAAGAAAAAGAAAAGTAAGAAATATTGTGGAGGATTATTTGCACGCCTGTATGTGTCTATTTAGTGACCTTGTAGGATGCTCCATGTTCTCACCCTTGACCTTTATCACATTCTCTCCACTAGATAAACCTGTATCAGTTTAGTTTAAAGCTGTGTCTGTTACTTAGGTGTTTATATTCACATGTGAACCCCAGACATCTGGATTCAGGTGCTCATGTTGATATTTTTAGCTATTTGATTTGTGGCAAGTTTCCTAGAGTGTGTGTGATGTAACTGTCTCCAAGTACAGATCTTTCTTCATGGGATAGTATGTTATTTTATGGTTTATGACATGGGAAGCACTTAGAAGGGTGTATAGCACACGGGAAGCATTCAAAAATGTTAGTCATGGCTATTGCTGTGATCGTGACAGTTTTTTGTTTTTTGAGTTTTTTGGAGACGGAGTATTGCTCTGTCACCCAGGCTGAAGTGCGTAGCATGATATCGGCTCACTGCAACCTCCGCCTCTTGGTTTCAAGCAATTCTGTGGCCACAGCCTCCTGAGTATCGGGGATTATAGGCACCCCCCCTACCACGCCCAGCTAAGTTTTGTATTTTTAGTAGAGAAGGGGTTTCAGCAAGTTCCTAGGCTGGTCTCGAACTCCTGACCTCATGATCTGCCCGCCTTGGCCTCCCAAAGTGCTGGAATTATAGGCATGAGCCACTGTGCCTGACCGATCATGATAGTTTTTAGATTTGGACTTTTCTTTCAAAGCCATTGGACTTTGTCCTCTCTGAAACAGCACTTGTATCTTAGCTCATCTAGAGACTTAATATCACCTGGTATGTTGAACATTATATCTGACATACCTCTAGAGAAAACCCTATATTTGCTTTTTTCCCCCCCCCCCTTTTTTTTTTTGAGATGGAGTATCAGTCTCTTGCCCAGGATGGAGTGCAATGGTGCCAACTTGGCTCACTACAGCCTCCATCTCCTGGGTTCTGGTGATTCTCCTGCCTCAGCTTCCTGTGTAGCTGGAATTACAGGTGCCTGCCACCAAGCCTGGCTAATTTTTATATTTTTAGTAGAGATAGGTTTTCACCATGTTGACCAGGCTGGTCTTGAACTCTTGACCTCAAATAATCTGCCCGCCTTGTCTTCCTGAAGTGTTGAGATTACAGGCGTGAACCACCATGCCTGGCCCTGTGCTTCCTTTTTATTTATATAGTTTTTATATTTTCTGTAAGATCGAGACTTCCATAGTGACTTATGGGATCTTAAAATCTTTGAAGGAAAAGTATAATAAAATGCAACTATGAGGAAAAAATATTCAAAAACACCTTAACGTGGTTTTGCCAGAACAGCCTTTGATCAAATAAATACTTATTTTCTCTTTTCTCATTTCCTGTGAAGGTGATAACTCCGTCCTCCATAATGTTTTGTTGAAATGTGTTTCATTTTAGGGACGCGTGACTTTCAGGGATGTGGCTATAGAATTCTCATTGGCGGAGTGGAAATGCCTGAACCCTGCGCAGAGGGCTTTATACAGGGAAGTGATGTTGGAGAACTACAGGAACCTGGAGTCTGTGGGTGAGGAAAATGTCCCTGCAGACATGAGGAGTCTGCTCTTGTCTGTCTTGGCTCTTCCTAGTTTTGTATTCTCTTTTGTGATTTTGCCCCATACATGGTTTTTTTGTTTTGTTTTGTTTTGTTTTTGTTTTTTGAGGTGGAGTTTCACTCTTGTTGACCAGACTGGAGTGCAATGGTATGATCTCAGCTCACCATAACCTCTGCCTTCCAGGTTCAAGCGATTCTCCTGCCTCAGCCTCCCAAGTGGCTGGGATTACAGGCATGCGCTACCACGCGCAGCTAATTTTGTATTTTTAGTAGAGACGTGGTTTCTCCGTGTTGGTCAGGCTCGTCTCTAACTCCTGACCTCAGGTGATCCACCCACCTCGGCCTTCCAAAGTGCTGGGATTACAGGTGTGAGCCACCGTGCTCAGCTCATTCTGGTTTTTGAGGAGCATCACAGAAGCATCTCTCACTGGCACTGTGACAGTGTTCATGCCGTAAACTAATGATCATGTTCTCTAAGCAGCAGTCAGTGGTGTTGAAATTCCTCCTAGTGAGGATGTCATTTGGGCTCACAGCCTCATATGTTTGAGGCTTTTGACCGAACTCTTGTTCATTTCGCATTTTCACACCAATATGTGTCATTGTTGATTTTTAACAAGAAAACCTGTGTTCCCATTTTTTGTAGGATCAATCCTGTAGCAGATATGGTTTTCATCAATCTTAGTGAGGGAGCTTGTGAAGTTGAATGGGGTTTCCATATTTTAGTTCTACTGTCATTTCCTTAAGATACAGTGGCTTTCATCTTGTTGGTTTCTATGTTTTGCTTTGTTTTGTTTTGTTTTTGTTTTTTTTGATTCGGAGTCTCACTCTGTTGCCCAGGCTTGAGTGCAGTGGTGTGATCTTGGCTCACTGCAACCTCCACCTTTTGGGTTCAAGTGATTCTCCTGCCTCAGCCTCTTGAGTGGCTGGGATTACAGGCATGTGTCACCACACCTGACTAATTTTTGGTAGTTCTATTCCAGATGGTGGTTTCGCCATGTTGACCAGACTGGTTTTGATAGCCTGACCTGACGTGATTCAGTTGCCTTGGATTCCCAAAGTGCTGGGATTACACACATGAGCCACCGCCCCTGGCCCCATCCAAGTTTGTTTTTAAGGCTGAATAATATTCCATTTTATGTATATACCACATTTTGTTCATATATTTACCTGTCAATGGACATCTGGGTTGATTTCTTGTCTTTATTCTCATAAATAATACTGCCCAGGTGGGTGCGGTGGCACACACCTATAATCCCAGCACTTTGGAAGGCTGAGGTGGGTGAATCACCTGAGGTCAGGAGTTGGAGACAGCCTGTCCAACATGGGTGAAACCACATCTCTGTTAAAGGTACAGTTCTTTTTATTTTTTATTTTTTTAAGACTGAGTATTGCTCTGTCACCCAAGCTGTAGTGCAGTGGTGCAACCTCAGCTCACTGCAAACTCTGCCTCCCGGGTTCAAGCAATCTCCTACCTCAGCCTTTTGAGTAGGTGGGATTACAGATGTGCACCACCATGCCTGACTAATGTTTTGTATTTTTTTAAGTAGACAGTGTTTCACCATGCTGGCCTGGCTGGTCTCGAACTCCTGACCTTGTGATCCACCCGCCCATCCAGTGTGCTGGGATTACAGAAGTGAGCCACTGCACTCAGCCAGGCTCTGTTTTCACAAGCACATCACTACCTACTCATCCAGGGGATCCTTGTTCTCCCCCATGGTCTCCTACATTGCTGCACTGTACTCTTCATAGCGTTTACTTGTTTTTTTGTGTGTGTATGCATTTCTGGAATCTACACAGGGAATTTTGTTGAGTACATGCTTGAAACTAGAAATCAGAGGCATTGAATTTAAGAGATGTAAAACTGCTTTCACCTCAGGCCACCATACTGCTGCTTTCTTGGATCTCTTGTCCCTTGCCCGTATTATAATTTGCATAGTTAACCTTGGGTCAATATTTTACCATTTGCTAAATTAGTTCCACTTTCCTCCAAGCTGAAGTTTTGGTCTATCTTAGTGGAATTCTATTCCCACCGACGTGCATGTACAAAGTTCACTCCTACAGGCCCATTACTTCCTGCCTTCCACACTTACCCTTTCTTTCGTGTCCTTGCCTCACATGATACATTGATCTGGAAGCAAATACTGTTTCTTTCCACCCTATTGATTTTGTAATGCCTGATGCCCCAATTTCCCCCGTGAGCCCCTCCTCTCCAACACTACTCACTGAGTAAGTCAAGACCTTATTCATCCACTGGACAAAATTGTACAAAGCTGCCTAAATCAATGTGTGCAGGGCATGATGTCTCAGCACATGGTCCATAAGGGATGGCTTAGCACCACTGTCAGCAGCACAGCTCAGCCCTTGTGTCCCAGCTCAGCCTTTGTATCCCACTTGATGTACTCATTTCTGTTCTCCTTGAATTTTCTATGACTTGTCATTTTCTGTACTGCCTGGGCTGACTATTGTGCCTAAGAACATGTGGTGGGATGCTTCAGGCCCAGGATCAAGTCTTGTCCCTCACTTACCATATGTGCAAACTGGGGTCATGTATATGACCATTATGGGCCTACTGTCATTATTTGAGAAATAATGTTAATTTGCTTCCAGGGTTGGTTTTTTTTTTTTTGAGATGGAATTTTGCTCCTGTTTCCCAGGCTGAAGTGCAATAGCACAATTTCAGTTCACCGCAACCTCCACCTCCCGTGTTCAAGCGATTCTCCTGCCTCAGTCTCCCAAGTAGCTGGGATTACAGGCATGCTCCACCATGCCTTGCTAATTTTGTATTTTCAGTAGGGATGGGGTTTCACCATGTTTGCTAGGCTGGTCTCGAACTCCTGACCTCAAGTGATATACCCTCCTCAGCCTCCCAAAGTGCTGGAATTACAGGCATGAGTGCTCGGCCTTTTTTTTTTTTTTTTTTTTTTTAAGTCAGGTTTCCCTCTTGTTGCTCAGGCTGGAGTGCAATGGTGCAATCTCAGCTCACCGCAACCTCCACTTCCAGGGCTCAAGTGATTGTCCTGCCTCAGGCTCCCAAGTAGCTGGGATTATGCCTGGTGCAAGCCTGGCTAATCTTTGTATTTTTAGTAGAGATGTGGTTTCTCCATAATGGTAAGGCTGGTTTCCAACTCCCAACCTCAGGTGATTCGTCCACCTGCTTTTTAAAACTAGTGAATACTATTAGACTTCTTCATCTATTATAAGTTTTATAGTAGATACTCTAAACTTCCTTTGTTTAATAAGATTTGTCAGTCTTCGGTTATGTTGATGATGAGATGCCTCTTTTCCTGTCTCACTCATTTTACTGTTCTGTCAAAAATAGCTTACACTGGCCAGCCGCAGTTCGAGACCAGCCTGGCCAACATGGTGAAACCCTGTCTCTAGTAAAAATATAAAAATTAGCTGAGCGTGTTGGTATGAACCTGTAATCCCAGCTTCTTGTGAGACTGAGACAGGAGAATCACTTGAACCTGGGAGGTGGATGTTGCAGTGAACCATGATCGCACCACTGCACTCCAGCTCGGGTGACAGTTAGATTCCATTCCCCACCCCCCAAAAAAATATTAGCCAGGCATGGTGGCACGTGTCTGTAGTCCCTGCTACTCAAGAGGCTGAGGCATGAGTATCTCTTTAGGTAGGAGAATCGTGCCACTACCTGGGTGATGAAGCATTACTCAGTCTCAAAAATAGATTAAAAAAAAATAGCTTAAACTGGAAATCTTAAGACATAGAAATGTATTTCTCATGAATCTGGAGAGTGGGAAATCCAAGAGCAAGATGTCAGTTAGATTGGTTCCTGGTGAGAGCCTTCTTCATGGTTTAGCCCAGCCATCTTCCTGCTGTGTCCTGACATGATGGAAAGAGGAACAGGCAATCAGCTCTTTACTGTCTCTTTTTATAAAAGCATTTGTCCTGGCCGGGCGTGGTGGCTCACGCCTGTATTCCCAGCATTTGGGAGGCTGAGATGGCCAAATCACATGAGGTCGGGAGTTTGAGACCAGCCTGACCAACATGGAGATACACCGTCTCTACTAAAAATACAAAATTAGCCGGGAGCGGTGGTGCATGCATTTAATCCCAGCTACTCAGATGGCTGAGGTGGGAGAATCGCTTGAACCTGGGAGGCAGAGGTTGCAGTGATCCTAGATCACGCTATTGCACTGCAGCCTGGGCAATAAGAGTGAAACTCTTTTTCAAAAATAAGTGAAAGAAAACATACAATTAAAAGCCCTAGTCCTATTCACAATTAGTCAACATGCATGACCAAATTCTCTAAAAGGCCCCATCTGCAGGAACATCCTATCGGAGAATAAGAAACCTGATAATGGCTTTTAGCTAAGACGAACATTTGGGCCAGGGAGCATACATCATATTTTTTGTTTTTATTGTGCAGTTTGTTTTATACAATGTTTTCTCTGATCTCAGTTTATAAATTTTCCCGGTACACTGTCTGTATATTTTATGCATAGTGAACTAGATAACCATGGGGAATGCATATATAGAAAATTGCTGGCCGGGCGCGGTGGCTCAAGCCTGTAATCCCAGCACTTTGGGAGGCTGAGACGGGCGGATCACGAGGTCAGGAGATCGAGACCATCCTGTCTAACACAATGAAACCCTGTCTCTACTAAAAATACAAAAAAATTAGCCGGGCGAGGTGGCGGGCGCCTGTAGTCCCAGCTGCTCGGGAGGCTGAAGCAGGAGAATGGCGTAAACCCGGGAGGCGGAGCTTGCAGTGAGCCGAGATAGCGCCACTGCACTCCAGCCTGGGCGACAGAGCGAGACTCCGTCTCAAAAAAAAAAAAAAAAAAAAGAAAATTGCTGTGTTGCCTGGCTATTACATATCTAGAGTTGTGACATCATAATTGCACTTTTCTACACTATTAGTCAATTATTTATCTATTTGTTTGTTTGTTTGTTTGAGACGGAGTCTTGCCCTGTCACCCAGGCTGTAATGCAATGGCGAGATCTCAGCTCACTGCAACCTCCGCCTCGTGAGTCCGAATGATTCTTTTGCCTTATCCTCCAGAGTAGCTGAGATTACAGGCGCCCACCACCACACCCAGCTGTTTCTTTCTGTATTCTTAGTAGAGATGGGGTTTTCCCATGTTGGCCTAACTGTTCTCGATCTCCTGACCTCGTGATCCACCTGCCTCAGCCACCCAACGTGCTGGGATTACAGGTGTGAGCCACCGTGCTCAGCCATTAGTCAATTCTTATTTCTTAAAATGCTGTGTATTTTCTTGACCTCATACCTCAGAAGGTAGTGATCTTATCATGTATTTCTTTTCTTATGTTGTGTGCTGATGCTTAAGTCGAAATTGTGGCTTTTTTCTTAAGAGGAATTGTTTAGAATTCTGCAGGCCGTATAAATGTACTCATTTGCTTGCTGGTTTTATCATGGGTTACAACATCTTATTTTTATAATTTTACATACGGCTTTACAGTATGTGGTATAGAATATAACTGACACACTACACTCGTTAATGTCACAAATTGTCACCGGGTGCAGTGGCTCACACCTGTAATCCCAGAACTTTGGGAGGCCGAGGTGAGTGGATTACTTGAGGTCAGGTGTTTGAGACCAGACTGGCCAAGACGGTGAAACCCCATCTCTACTAAAAACACAAAAATTACACAGACATAGTGGTGCGTGCCTGTAATCCCAAGTACTCAGGAGGCTGAGGCAGGAGAATCACTTCAACCCAGGTGGCAGAGGTTGCAGTGAGCTGAGATCATGCCATGGCACTCCAAGCTGGAGTGAAAGACCCCGTCTCAAAAAAATAAAACTACAAAAAATTTTTCAAAAGTCACTAAGTGCCTGTTCTGTGTGGATATAAGTAATTTTATGACATTTATTCAGAATACATTGTAACATTTTTTTCTTTTTTTCCTTTTATTTTTGAGGCCGAGTCTCACTTTGTCTCCCTGGCTGGAGTGCAGTAGTGCGATCTTGGCTCACTGCAACCTCTGCTTCTCATGTTCAAGCGATTCTTGTGCCTCAGCCTCCCGAGTAGCTGTGACTACAGGCGCGGGCCACCACACCTGGCTAATTTTTGTAATCTTTTATTATATTCTCTGTGCTATAATTGTTTGACAATACGGAATTTACGTTGCTTTTGGTTATCCTTACATGAGGTTGTTGTGGATTATTTACCAATATTGTATATTGTGTGGGTTTTTGTTTTTTAGCATTTGTACACAGTAAATATGAAGAATATATATTTTTCTCTTCATTGATGTGACAGTGATATGTTTTTTGCAAATTGTGATACACTTTAGGGTCACAGTGGAAAAACACTCCTTACTTTCGGCTTACTCATGTTTGTGCCCTGTCAGTGTTTTGTCATGATATAGGAAATAGGTTTTCATGGAATTAATTTGAAGGATATGTAAATGCCCTTTGTTTATTAAAGAATCTTATTCCTTTTGTGTTCCTATACTTTGAAGATCATGTTTGGGAAGTTCAAAATAAGTATTCTTTTTGTATCATATTTACACACTTCAGTATGATTTACCATCTGGACTTAATTTGAAACCTATTGGTGTTTATATTTTACAGATATCTCTTCCAAATGCATCATGAAGGAGTTCTCATCAACAGGGCAGTGCAATACAGAAGTGATCCACACCGGGACATTGCAAAGACATGAAAGTCATCACATTAGAGATTTTTGCTTCCAGGACATTGAGAAACAAATTCAGGACATTGAGTTTCAGTGTCAAGAAGATGAAAGAAATGGCCATGAAGGACCCATGACAAAAATAAAAATGTTCACTGGTAGTACAGACCGACATGATCAAAAACATGCTGGAAACAAGCCTATTAAAGATCAGCTTGGATCGAGCTTTCATTCACATCTGCCTGAACTGCGCATATTTCAGATCAAAGGTAAAATGGGTAATCAACTTGAGAAGTCTACCGATGATGTTCCCTCAGTTTCAACATCCCAAAGAATTTCTTGTAGACCCCAAATCCGTATTTCTAATAACTGTGAGAATAATTCCCCAAATTCTTCATTACTCACAGAAGAACAGGAAGTACACATGACAAAAACATCTTTCCAGTGTAATGAGAGTGGCAAAGCCTTTAATTGTAGCTCACTCTTAAGGAAACACCAGACAATCCATTTAGGAGACAAAATATATAAACGTGATGTATGTGGCAAGGTGTTTAATCACAAGCAGAACCTTGCATGCCATCAGAAATGCCACACGGGTGAGAAACCTTACAAGTGTAATGAGTGTGGCAAGTCCTTCAGTCAGGTGTCATCCCTTACATGCCATCGTAGACTTCATACTGGAGTAAAACCTTACAAGTGTAATGAGTGTGGCAAGCTCTTTGGTCAAAATTCAGCCCTTGTAATTCATAAGGCAATTCATACTGGAGAGAAACCTTACAAGTGTAATGAATGTGACAAGGCTTTTAATCAACAATCAAACTTTGCACGTCATCATAGAATTCATACTGGAGAGAAACCTTACAAATGTGAAGAATGTGAGAAAGTTTTCAATCGCAAATCAACCCTTGAGACACATAGGAGAATTCACACTGGAGAGAAACCGTACAAATGTAAGGTTTGTGACACAGCTTTCACGTGGAATTCACAGCTGGCTCGACATACCAGAATTCACACTGTAGAGAAAACTTACAAGTGTAATGAGTGTGGCAAGACTTTCAGTCACAAGTCCTCCCTTGTGTGCCATCATAGACTTCATGGTGGAGAGAAATCTTACAAATGTGAGGTTTGTGACAAGGCTTTCGCATGGAATTCACACCTGGTAAGACATACTAGAATTCACAGTGGAGAAAAACCTTACAAGTGTTGTGAATGTGGCAAGACCTTTCGTCAAAATTCAGATCTTTTAGTTCATAAATCAATTCATACTGGAGAGCAACCTTACAAATATGAAGAATGTGAAAAAGTTTTCAGTCGAGCATCAACCCTTGAGACACATAAGGTAATTCATACTGGAGAGAAACCATACAAATGTAAGGTTTGTGACAAGGCTTTTGCATCTCATTCCTATCTGGCAAAACATACTAGAATTCATAGTGGAGAGAAACCTTACAAGTGTAATGAGTGCGGCAAGACCTTCCGTCTGAAGTCATACCTTGTATGCCATCGTAGAGTTCATAGTGGTGAAAAGCCTTACAAGTGTAATGAGTGCAGCAAGACCTTCAGTCAGAGGTCATACCTTCATTGCCATCGTAGACTTCATAGTGGTGAGAAACCTTACAAGTGTAATGAGTGTGGAAAGACCTTCAGTCACAAGCCATCCCTTGTATACCATCGTAGACTTCATACTGGAGAGAAATCTTACAAATGTACACTTTGTGACAAGGCCTTTGTGCGTAATTCATACCTAGCAAGACATACTAGAATTCACACTGCAGAGAAACCTTACAAGTGTAACAAATGTGGGAAGGCTTTTAATCAACAATCACAACTTTCACTTCATCATAGAATTCATACTGGAGAGAAACTTTACAAATGTGAAGCATGTGACAAACTTTTCAGTCGCAAATCACACCTTAAAAGACATAGGATAATTCATACTGGAGAGAAACCATACAAATATAAGGTTTGTGACAAGACTTTTGGGAGTGATTCACACCTGGCACAACATACTGGAATTCACACTGGAGAGAAACCTTACAAGTGTAGTGAGTGTGGCAAAGCCTTTAGTGAGAAGTCAACAATTATTTCCCATCAGGCAATTCATGGTGTAGGGAAACTGGACTAATGTAATGATTCTCACAAAGTCTTCAGTAATGCTAAAAGCATTGTAAATCATTGGAGAATCCATAATGAAGAGAGATCTTACAAGCGTAACAAATGTGGCAAAATTTTCAGACATCGTTCATACATTGCAGTTCATTGCAAACTCATACTGGAGAGAAACCTTACAAATGTCATGACGGTGGCAAGGTCTTCAGTCAAGCTTCATCCTATGCAAAAACAGGAGAATTCATACAGGAGAGAAACCTCACAAGTGTGATGATTGTGGCAAAGCCTTTACTTCATGTTCACACCTTATTAGACATCAGAGAATCCATACTGGACAGAAATCTTACAAATGTCATAAGTGTGGCAAAGTCTTCAGTCCGAGGTCACTCCTTGCAGAACATCAGAAAATTAATTTTTGAGATAACTGTTCCCAATGCAATGAGTATAGCAAACCGTCAAGCATTAATTGACATTAGAGTCAAATCAGCATTGATTTGAGTTTGTATTGACTTAACATTCAGTTCAAGCCTTAATTGACATTAAAGTGTTTATGTTAAGAGGATTGAGCCAGGTGCGGTGGTTCATGCCTGTAATCCTAGCACGTTGGGAAGCCAAGGCACGTAGGTCACTTGAGGTCAGGAGTTTGAAACCAGCATGGCCAACAGATGTGAGCCACTTTTCTCAACCTATTTTCTGTTTCTTATTTTCTATTTTTCTTTTTTGAGATAGTGCTTTTTAAAGAGATAGTACTTTTTTGAGACAGTAGTTTTGAAAAGGGATATACCGTAGTACTTTTTAACAGGGATATCAGGCTGGGTACGGAGGCTCACGCCTGTAATCCCAGCACTTTGGGAGGCTGAGGCAGGTGGATCATGAGGTGAAGAGGTCGAGACCAGCTTTGCTAACACGGCGAAACCGCGTCTCCACTGAAAATACAAAAAATTAGCCAGGCATGGTGGCGGGTGCCTGTAGTCCCAGCTACTCAGGAGACTGAGGCAGGAGAATGGTGTAAACCCGGGAGGCAGAGCTTGCAGGGAGCCGAGATCACACCACTGCACTGCAGCCTGGGCAACAGAGTGAGAGTCTGTCTCAGAAACAAAACAAACCAGGATATGAGAGCCCGACAAGGTGGCTCATCCTTGCAATCACAGTACTTTGGTAGACCGACTTGAGTGGATCACCTAAGGTCAGAAGTTCAAGAGCATCCTGGCTAACGTGAAACCCCATCTCTATTAAAAATAAAAAAGTTAGCCAGGGCTGGTGGTGTGCACCTTTTTTTCCAGCTACTTGAGAAGCTGAGGCACAAGAATCACTTACACCTGGGAGGCAGAGGTTGCAGTGAGCCAATATCATCCCACAGCACTGCAGCCAGGGTGGCAGAGTAAGTCTCCATCTCAAACAAACACACAAACAAAAAATAGAAAAAAAAGAGACATCAAAAATTCTTTTGTTCTCATTGTATAATAGATTTCCTTTTTTTTTTTTTTTCTTTCTGGTTCCTCTTCATTTCTCTATTTTTTATTTTTAATTTTTTTTTGCAGTTTGAGTTTGAGATAAATCTTAGTTTTAAAAATTTTATTTCTGGCCGGGCATGGTGGCTCACACCTGTAATCCCAGCCGTTTGGGAGGCCAAGGCAGGTGGATCACGATGTCAGGAGATTGAGACCATCCTGGCTAACACTGTGAAACCCCGTCTTTACTAAAAATACAAAAAATTAGCCGGGCGTGGTGGCGGGCGCCTGTAGTCCCAGCTACTCGGGAGGCTGAGACAGGAGAATGGCGTGAACCCAGAAGGCGGAGGTTGCAGTGAGCCGAGGTTGTGCCACTGCACTCCAGCCTGGGTGACAGAGCGAGACTCCGTCTCAAAAAAAAAAAAATTTTATTTCTGCTCTCGGCCTTAGTGCCATGTTCTTGGAAACCTCTGTGCCATGAGAGCCAAGTGGAGAATGAAGTGAATGCTCAGCCTGAAGCACAAAAGAAGAAAGATGAGGTACAGCTCCAAGTAAACTGCTAGCTTGTTGCACCGTGGAGGCCACAGGAACAGAAACATGGAGTGCCAGACGCTGGCGATGCTGTTACAAGTTGTGAGACTGCATGCTACTATCTAGAGCTTGTCTCAATGGATCTAGAACTTCATCGCCCTGTGATCACCGATCACCTCTGAGACCCACCTTGCTCATAAACAAAACTGCCCATGTTGGTCCTCTGCCCTGGACCTGTGACATTCTGGACTATTTCTGTGTTTATTTGTGGCCAAGTGTAACAACCATATAATAAATCACCACTTCTGCTTTTTTAGCTGAACAATTGAAAAAAAAATTATTTCTTTCTTAATCCATAATGACTTCTGAAAGATGCCTTTGCAGCATCCTAAAATCAGCTCACATCATTCATTTCTGTACTTGAGTATTTTCCGGTTATTCTCTGTTGACCCCGGAATTCATTAGAATTTTTTTTTTTTTTAACAATTTCAAAATAGTTGCTGTTTGAAATTAGCATCCGGTTCAGTTCAAGGTCTGCATGCTTTCTAGTCTTTGTTATTTATTGGAAGCCTTGGTACCTAATACTTAAGTTTGATTGTTTCAGTGTATACTTGGTATAGATGTCAGTGACCTTTTAACTGAACATCAAAATATAGTTTAACCAGTTAGTCTGTTTTTCAGTTTTCTTTCCTTTTGTCATTTGTTAAAATCTTGAGCTGGGAGCTGTTTATTGCGTGTTTCCCTCAAGGCCCTCTGGTCCATTCTGTAAAAATGTTGAAACATGGGCTGCATTGGCGTAGAACACTCCTCCAAAAGAACCCATGTGTTCTTTTCTTTTTCTTGAAATGGAGTCTTGCTCTGTCGCCTTGGGTGGAGTGCAGTGGTGCAAACTCAGGTCACTGAAACCTCTGCCTCCCAGGACCAAGGGATTCTCCTGCCTCAGTCTCCTGAGTAGCTAGAATTACAGGCACCCACCAGCACGCCAGGCTAATTTTTGTATTTTTAATATATTTTGGTATCTAAACATCACATGATGGACATATTTGTTTTCTGGAAAAACTCCGAGGAAAGCTGCCGCCATAGAGACCCATTGCCATAAAGCATCTCCTTTCTCTGTCACATCCTCCACCCTCCTTACAAACTCACTGGGCAGCAGCTACTGTCAGTTCTGTGTCAGGCGTCAGGGCAAGTCTCGTACACGTGTATTTCTGCATAAAGCAAAATAGTGTTGAAGTGTTGGGAGGACGAAAATTTTTGGGGGTGGTATGGAGAGATAATGGGCGATGTTTCTCAGGGCTGCTGCAAGCGGATTAGGGGTGGCATGGGAACCTAGAGTGGGAGAGATTAAGCTGAAGGAAGATTTTGTGGTAATGGGTGATATTGTGGGCTTGTTAGAAGAAATATTTGTCACATAGAATTATTGGTGTTGGCCTGGATACAGTTTTGTTTGAATTGAAAACCTAATGGAATAAGAGAAGGAGAAAAACAGGTAGTAAAGGACTAAGAATTGGGAGGACCCAGGACATCCAATTAGAGAGTGCCCAAGGAGGTTCAGCATAGCCCTGCCAGCAAAGATTATTTATATACTTTAAGAGTTAAGAGTGGCAGTTTGGGAATAGCACCAGGAGATATCAGCTGTGATGTCTTGGAGAAATAGTGTAAACCAGCAGTGTAGAGAGCAGGGCATTTATGAGTAGTTGAGATCAGTGAATACAGAAGATAGTAGGGATGACAAAGTTTTGGGGACACAGTCCAAGTAGGTCTGGTGTCTGGAATGAGATTGGGACCTGATAAAAAGGAGTGTTGATACAGGAGCTCAAATGGGCTGTACCCTGTAGCATTCCAAGGACGGGACCTAATTCTGAGAAGGGCAAGTGGTAAAAGTATTGTCCAGTCCTTTTTAAGTTAGTGACCGAGCTTGGTGAGGTGTGTTTTGAAAAGACCATTAGTCCATTCTACCTTTTCTGGAGATTGAGGAAGGTAAGCAGTATGAAGGTTCCACTGAACACCAAGAGCCTGAGCTTGGGTGATTTAACTAATAAAGGCTGGTCCGTTATTGGACTGTATAGAGGTAGGAAGGCCAAACTGAGGAATTATGTCTGACAGAAGGGAAGAAATAACCATGGTGGCCTTCTCAGACCCCGTGGGAAATGCCTCTACCCATCCAGTGAAAATGTCTACCCAGACCAAGAGGTATTTTAGTTTCCTGACTCAAGGCATGTGAGTAAGTCAATTTGCCAGTCCTGGGCTGGGGCAAATCCCCAAGCTTGATGTGTAGGGAAGGGAGGGGGCCTGAGAAATTCCCAAGGAGTAGTAGAATAGCAGATGGAACACTGAGAAGTGATTTCCTTGAGGATAGAGTTCCATGATGGAAAGGAAACGAGAGGTTCTAAGAGGCAGGCTAGTGGCTTGTAACCTACATGGAAGAGGTTATGAAATGATGACAGAATAGAATGGGCCTGTGAGGCTGGAAGGAGATAATTTCCTTAGTTCAATAACCATTTGCCTTGTGTGGGAAGAGATTGATAGGTGGAAGTTTCAGTGGGGGAGTGGCCAGATGAGAAGGAGAAAAACTGCTGTAAGAGATAGAAGTTGGAACACTAGCTGCTTTTTTAGCTACTTTATCAGCATAAGTGTTGTCCTGAGTGATGGGATCTGATGCCTTTTGATTACCCTTGGCGTGAATGGCTCCAGCTTCCTTTGTAGGTAAAGGGGCTTTGAGAAGAGTTTTTATTAAAGAGGCATTAATGATGGAGGACCCTTGCATGGTGAGGAAATTTTTTTCTGCCCATATAACAGCATGGTGGTGCAGGATATGGAAGGCATATTTAGAATCAGTATAAATATTGATGCACATTCCTTTTGCAAGAGTGAGGGCTCACGTTCAGGCAATGAGTTCAGCTTGCTGAGAGGTAGTGGAGGGGGCCAGAGCAGTAGCCTCAATGATAGATACTATAGCATAGCCTGCGTTTGCTGGTGATTGGCGATTGGGCCTAGTGGAACTGCCATCAATACACCAAGTGTGATTAGGATGAGGAACAGGAAAGAAGGAAATATGGGGAAATGGAGTGAACGTCAGGTAGATCAGAGAGATACAGCCATGGGGGTCAGGTGTGGTATCCGGAATAATGTGGGAGGCCGGATTGAAGTCCGGGCTAGGAACAATGGTAATTGTAGGAGACTCTAAGAAACAGTGAGCATAGCTGAAGGAGCCAGGGAGCAGAAAGTATATGCATCAAGTGTGAGGAAGAAAATAGATTTTGGAAGTTATGAGAATTGTAGAGAGTGATTTGAGCAAAGTTTGTGATTTTGAGCCATGGGGGAGGATAGGCCAGACAATTTTGTTGATAAGGAGCAGATCCTGAACTAACCTGTAAGGCTTGTACGGTTTTTGGACAGGTAAAATGGGAGAATTGTAAAGAGAGTTTATAGACTTTAAAATGCCATGCTGTAACTGGTAAGTGATAACAGGCTTTAATCCTTTTAAAGCATGCTGTGGAATGGGATATTGGCATTGAGTAGGGTAAGGGAGATTAGGTTTTAATGAGATGGTAAGGGGTGCATGATCGATTGCCAAGGAGGGA